GGTGATTATCTGTGTTCTTCGGCTGAGCGGTTCTCAACCTGCGGGTCACTATCCCTTTTGGGGGTCGAACGACCATTTCACAGGGGCCGTGCGATTCTTAACAGTAGCAAAATGACAGTGATGAAGTAGCATAGAAAATAATTTTATGGTTGGGGGGGTCACCACAACATGAGAAACTGTATGAAAGGGTCGCAGCATGAGGAAGGTTGAGAAGCTCTGGGTTAAAGCAAACTTCCACATCATTTTAGAGATCAGAATTGGGAGCACATGAAAACGTTTCCAATCCAAGTGGGTGGTGCTATCAAATGCAGGACTACAATGACTTAAATGACACCCCCCTGAATCTGGATACTAATATAAACATATCCCACCATGCCCGATGCCCCTGTTCAGCCCCACACCTAGAAGACACGATCCCCCTACAGTTTCAGTGCCCCTCGGCAAGGTCATTCTGTTGGAGGAGTGGGCAATCAAACTATTGCAAAACCAGTTGGCTTTTTAAAGACCTTTGGAAAGAATAGCATGTATGTTCTTTCTTGAACAGTCTATGTTTGGGTTGGTGACACTGGGGGTTAAGAGCTGGGAGCAGCAATACAGGAAGCGGATGTCTCTTATGTCTGGTGATTATACTACAGTACTTTGATTCTTTTGCACAGCTAGCCATTCCACAGTGGCGACTCCACACTGAAGTGCACACAAAGGGGTTTCATTCTCACCACCTATTTCTTCTCTTCTTTCTGACAAGCCCCTCCCAACGGGCAGTGCACACTCATTGTTGAGAAATAGAGTGCCCATTACAGAGAACCTGAAACGAACTCATGTTGCATATGTGCGTCCTTCAGGCATCTCATCAGAAGAGACTCAAAGCTAGAACTGACTTCCTGTAGAAAATGCATGCAGGTTGGAGTGCAAGCACAGAAAGACGGGGGAGACTCGCTCTTCTATGGGGGGAAACCAGGCTGCTCCCCATGAATGTGAGCTGTTTTACACTATAAGCAGAAGCTAGCCCTCTCTTTTCACCAAGAAAAAGTAAACAGAGACTTTAAAAAACAAAATGACTTTGTAATAAAACCCACAGCAAAAAAAGGAACAAGTCCATTAAGAATTAAAGAAAGAAGTGGCCTTCTCGATTTATGTTGGGATTTTAAGACACGTGCTTTGCAGTCAAGGAAAGAAGAAAATGCATGTATCTTGGCAAATCAACAACAATTCAGCCAAGCAAATGAATTTCAATTTTTGTACTCTATAAAAATTAAACTTTATTCTCCTGGTCCCCCTTCTACTTTAACTGACACGGGGAAAACACACATGCGTGATCAAAAAAACCTGGTTAACAATAACATGCATTTATCTTCTTAGCTTCTGGGCAGAGAAGTAAATTTATGATAAACTTAACATTAACTTGAGAGTAACTAATGCCAATTATAATTATCTTGCTGGGTAGAGAAATTAAGAAAATATTCCAGTGAGGAAGAAGACCTCAGTAGCAAACCCAGGAGAAGCAGACACGTGGAGGACAGAGGCTTGAAATACAGGAGAGGAGAAGGGAACGGCAGCATTTAGTCCATCTGTTCAGACAGTAATGGGACGAGGTAATCTTTTCAAGAGGACATGGCATGCGTTACGCTGGAAATGAGACTACCTGGCGGGCAAATCCAGCCAAGTTCTTAATTCTCCTCTTCAACTTTGTGATTTGCTAATGCGAAACACATGTCTTCCTTTTGCACCAACTTCAAATAACTCTGGAATTCCAACCGTGCAGCTCAGTGACTGAACCAGAACAAGGGGAGAACTTGTCAGGATTTACGAGCTTTCAGCAAAGCCCTTCAGTTGCAGCCAGCACCCTATTCCACGGCAGGATATCAATTATAGATAGTGACTTGCTTTAGCAGGCAGTCGGGACTGTCAGACACTAGATAGACAACCATGAAGAATCATGAATCTTTCTATTAACTGGAAGAGAGGGAAAGAGAATGGGTCATGGCTATAAATAAGGCCGGGTAGCAGCATGGTGTAATGCCTTGCCTCTTGGTTGTACGTAGCATGAAAATTCAACTAATTCTCTAGATACCCTCTCCCAACTGGAGTCCCAGGAATGAACAATGTTTCCCCCTGTCCCTTACACCTGGGTTTTGCAATTGGTATTGCACCGCCACCACCCCACCCCCACCCCGCGCCCCCAATATCATCCAGGTAATTAGATGTACCTGCAAGAAGATAGTCTTCCAGTTAAGCAAAAAAAAAGAAAAAAGCATGGATTTGATACTGTTGGATACATCCATGAGTAGGAAGGTCCTGATATGTCAGGCAGTGAGACCAGGTTAAGTGCATGTATCTGGAATTCCTAAACTTCAGACATGAGTAAAAAGGTGAGAAATAAAAAACCTACTGCCCTCTCAGCGATTCTGACTCACACTGCAACACTGTAGGACAGAGTAGAATCACAGCTTAGCATTTCCATCATTTAGTTTAACCAGCTTTACCCTGAAATGACGCTGCTTGATTTTTAAAAAGATCATCACTACCTAAAATCTTTTTTGTGGCTGAGACAATCTGCAAGCTCCTACAAGCTTCCATATTGCTTATGCAGTGAAAAAGTTAAGTTACCCCACCACACCTCCAAAAAACCAAAAAAAAACCCTTTCCCTTCTGTCTGGCCCTGAATCAGGAACACAGTTCATTTTTTAAAAGCGGACTTAGAAGCAGCTCCTATTTCGTTCCTGCACATTTGATAATGGCAGGACCATTCAAAGCACTTCTCAACAGCCACAGTAACTTGTCCACTGACTATTATTTCCACCGGAAATAATTCCTGTCCAGCTTAAAATCATCAAAAAGGAATCAGTGACTTCTATCCTTTCTCAGGATAATACCTTGAAATGCAGCAGCTGGTGACCATTCTGGGGGCAGCTTTCGTACCAATGTCGGTAGCTCATGTCGGTAGCTCCCTCAGTGGATTAGTAGCTGAGGATGCTCACGGCATACTCTGTGCTCTGGAAGGATATTCCCCCCATGGCAGAGAGAAACCCTAAACACCCCTCCCCCGCCACCTGTAGTAGTCTTCCATTGTCTTTGCAGATTCCCTTAATAGGGAATAAAGGAACAATACATAAATGAAGGAAGGTAAAAAAGGAATCAAGGGCCATCAAATCAGGCTTCTCCTCAAGAAAACAGTTGTATCAAATGAAAGAAATAGAATCCAATTAAGTACATGCAAAACCCTGGAACTATACCTTAATTAAAAACATTTGCCTTTCTCTTTTCCTAGGATCAGAGAAATCTGTAATTCTTCCTATACATTTATAAGGAGATAAGGGGAGGAGAGGGGACAAAAACCTGCTCATATCAAGTTCGATCCTCAAAACAACCCGTACACAATGGCTTTCACAACCGAGCCAACACTATATTAACACTACACCATAACTGCAGGATCCAGAGCACACTGAATGGGATGGGGCACGTTACAGAAGACACCTTTCAAAAAGCTGGTGCCTCTGGTTGCCAGTGGGGAAGTGGATGGAGGGGAGGAGGAAGAGACGGATGCATGGAGCAGTTCTAGGGTAGGGAACTGCCTTGTATGACACTGTCATGGTGGACACAGAGCTGTTCCCATCTGTCCAAACCCACAGGACTATATTATTGGTTAGCAATAATGCATCAGTGTTGGTTCATCAATTTTAACAAATATACCACATAAATGTCAGTTGTTAATAAAAGGATAAATGC